TCTTGGATAATCTTCGTTCTAAAATGTAAGCCCACTATATAAAATTATTCTTCTCCGTTTTAATTTACGTAATAGTATTTGATTGAGCACGAAATTTAAAGAAAAAAAAAATTTGACAAACTTACGGCTTAAAATAAGTCGTAAACTTTTGTGTCGCTTTAAATCATCTTATTACGAGTAAAATCAAAAATTTAAAATTAAATTATTTATAATAAAAGATATAATATTCTTTTCAAGACGGACAAAAAGAATAATACATAAATTGAGATATAGAAAATAACTAAGAAGCAACATGAATTTATATGTAAAATTACTAAATTTCCAAAACCTAGGGACTCTGAGAAATAATATGCAAAAAGCATACTGCAAATGCATATAAATTACTCGATAAGTGATAACTCCGAATCTTCTGACAAGCTGCAAGCCTTCCACTGTCCTCCAGAGAAAGAATATTAATTTTGAGTTTAACTGCTAAGCACGCAGTGTTAGATATTTTTACGTCCTAAACATGGTATAAACGGGTAACTGTCAATAATAAATTTAATTTGGTAATATAAAAAATACTCAAAGATTTAAGTTATACTCATTGATAGTGTAAAGATCTTTTCATATTATGAGCCCGTTTGGATTAGCTGATTTGAAGTAGCCGATAATCATTAGGTGTTGAAAAACACTTTTAAGTGCTGAAACTGATTTAATAAATAAGCAGTTACGTGTTTGGGTACAAGTGCTAAAACTGATAATAAGTTGCTGCAGTATTTGATAAAAATGTGCTGATAAGCTCTTTTTCTGTTAAAATGACATAAATAGCCTTAGAACTGTTTACACTTATAAGGGCGTAATTTCTTCAAAATTTTAGATTCCAGATCGATTCAAATACAAAATATTCTATTTGTCATTTTATTTAAATACAAGTGTGCTTAGATAAGATAATTTTTATGATAAATATAATTTATTTTATGATAAGCATAAAATCATAAGGTATAAAAATTAATAAATTGACAAAAGTTTCTCAGTAAAAAGTAAACTAAATAGGACAAAATATTTGAAGAGAAACAAATATTGTCTTCATCACCACAACACTTAGAAAGCAATACACCAAAAATTTGATATGTCTTCTTTTGTTACATACAGTTCAAAGATTAATACACAATCACATAGATATAAATATGCAAAGGAATAGAGAATTTGCTTATCTTAAATAGTCAATGAGAATTGCAGACTTGAAGAGGGGAGGGGGGAGGGGGGTTTAGGTTGAATACTTGAGGCAGTGAGTATCGATGCAGGAGTTTTGTTCTAAAAAGGAATATTTTAAGGATAATATAGTAAAAATCTTGGTTAAACTTAAAGTGCTTATAAGCTAAAAATTCATAAGCTGGGGGTGACCAGCTTATGGCTTTTGACTTATTTTTGACTTATAAGCACTTGGCTTATAAGCACTTTTAACTTTACCAAACGCGTAGATAAGCCAAAAAGTGCTTATAAGCTAGTTTGACCAGCTTATAAGCTTAGCCGAACACCCTCTATATCAGATATTTTAACCAGTAATAATAGGTAAGTTATTATTTTAACAGATTATCAATTAATGTTTATCAAGAGATTTATAAGTAATTATATATTAAGTGATCTGATTAAGTAGTATATTTTTTATAGAACTTAAACACAAAAGTAAAGTACATAATTGTGGTAAGAGATAAAAATACACTGATAGTGAAAAACTCACACACTATCTGTGCATAGAAATTAAATACTTACATTAGGGTAGACTGTGTATATTACTCCCCATGAGGTGCGACTTTTTCCTGAATTTTGCATGAATACAAAATGTTTTGTACATCAGACTGTCTTTTTTCCAAATAGTTCAATCAGACGATAGAGAAAAACATCCGCCACTATTCCAGCAAGTCATACCAGAACTTATTTATTTATTTAATACTTCTCCATATAACCTTTTGAAAACGATAATCTCAACACAGTCAGGAATTTGTAATGCACATGTATAACTGCTTTTCATTTTGTACATTTGTATCATCAAATATCTGCTGCAGTTGCATATAAAATGCTTCATTATATTGACTCCTTTATACAACAACTATATTTGTATATCCATATCCTCTCATAACAACTGCCCACAGCAGAATTAGAAACCAGCTTCAGTTCTTAATTATAAGAAAGATGAGCAAAGTCCAAGAGCAAACATTAGCACAAGAAGCAATTACAGAATTCAGAGCTAGATTCCAGAGACGTGAATGTTCAACTAGCACTAGTGATTTGTTACATAAAGAGGGAAAAGGAGATTTTGCAGAAGGATCTAACGAAGGGAATGTGGCCAGTGCTAATAACAGGCGAAATTTAGCAGAGGAGTCGCTGAGAACTGTAATGTATTTGAGCTGTTGGGGTCCAAACTAATTAAATTTTGTGTAAATATTGTAGCTAGCTCTAATGTGATTTTACTGGGTTGTTGTTGTTGTAAATGTAGCTAGCTTTATTTAGTGTGAGTTTCTGTATCATAGTTTTCCTCAAGTAGTTAAAGTCCTATTTCTCGAGTTTCAGTCTGAATCGGTTTTTCCCTAAAAAGAAACCAAACCAAGTAAGTCGGTTTTTCAAATATTAGAACCAAACCAAACCAATTAAGTCAGTTCTTTCTCCATTCGGTTTATGTCGGTTTTTCGGTTTTTTGTCGGTTTTTTCTTATATATTAAGACATACACTACCAAACACATATTTCGGCAACCACATTTTCAACGTAACACTATCAAATTAATTGCCCTTTGAGAAACCAATTATTTACCAAGATATATTGAAGATAATTGAATCAAATAGTGATGAATAATTTAAGGACTCAATTAAAAATATATTATTTTTAGCATGAAATAGATTCTTACACTTAACAAAAGAAAACTACCAATCAAACTAGAATGTAAAGGTAAAGGACTGTACTAAAAGCGCAAACGATTAACATTTACTATAAAATTTTTGAAACTTTGTATAAAAGTATACATATATATAGGTGTAATAACAAATTTTAAATAGTTACTCCTGTATTCGGCTTGGTTCGGTTTTTTTTTTTATTAAAACCAAACCAAACCAAAAAGTATCGGGTTTTTTGGTCGGTTTGGTTTGATTTTCGGTTTGGTTTGATTTTTCGGATTTTTATGAACACCCCTATTCTGCAGTTTCCCCTCTTACCTGAACATAATTATTTTATTATCTCATACTCCCTTCGTCTCAATTTATGTAATAATATTTAATTGAGCTTGAAGTTTAAAAAAGAAAGAGAGACTTTTAAAGTTATATGGTCTAAAATAGGTCATAGCTATTTGTGTTGCTATAAAATTGTTATGAAATATAGCTCAAAGTAACTATATATATATATATATATATATATATATATATATATATATATATATATATATATATATATATATATATATATAGAAGGAGAAAAAATAAGCTAAGAGATATAGAGATTCTTATTTCTTCTTCAATTGTGTTATATTTTATTTCTATTACAAAGCCTTTATTTAGGCATGAAAAGTAAAGAATTACTATCGTAAAATAGTGAGTGGAATGACCATTATTGAGTGAAATGGCCACTATTAAGTGGAATGGTCACTACATAAATATGTAATTGAATATGTCATTAAACGTTTGAGAGAAAGATCATGGAGGAAGATCATAAGCCACGTTATGGAGATAATGAAGAAGAGTAGTGATCATTACTTCTTTGGTGGTTATGGACATCCACCATTATTCAAGATTTTATAACAATTAAATTATTACTAAATTTAGAAAATATCATTCTTTTTTAAACAAACTAAAAAAAAAAAAAAGAAAAGTAAAATTAAAGTATCACGTAAAAAAGGTACGTATTCAGTAGTTGCTTTAGCAATTGTTGTGGTTTCTCGAAATAGTATCTGGAAAACATATAAGAGTTTCTGGTGATATACGAGATATTATATTGGATATGGTAAAAGTATACGAGGTTTTGCTCTTTGATTTGTAAAACCACAAAACTCACTCAAATCAAGTCAAAATCGTCCAAATTGAAGTCAGATATTACTAGTACCTAGGACCCGTTTGTCAATAATAATAATAAAAAATTATGTTTTTAGATTTTTTTTCTTCAAAAATATGTTTGTCCATCAAATTTTGTAAGTTTTTGGAAAAGTGGTTTTGATCACTTTTTCAAAATTTTCGGCAATATTTTTTCTCCACTCATAAAACTGCAATATTTTTTAAAGTGAAATGCATGTTCAAACATAATTTCAAATTCCGAATACCTTTTTAAAGTTAACTCCAAATACTACTTTTTTTTAAAAAAATCACAATTTTTATGTCCAAAGGCCTACCTGATTTCCGTTTTTGTACTTTTAAAAGCAGCTAGTTAACAAAAGAGCAATCACATTCACTACACCAATACCTTCACTTTCACAACTTAATCGCATTTTCAAATACTTGCTATTTTCAACATTTAGCTCATGTAATTTGGTGACTTGGAATTGCTAGATGCAGCTATGGATACTGTAAATAAAAATAATTAAAAAAAAATCGAAGAGTCATAAAATTTGAGTTAAAATAATTTGTTCATCATATTGAAGTGTATTACCTTTATTTAATTATGTCTTCAACATATCCGTGACATTCGGGCTTATAACTTTTTCACGAGCCAAACACGTAAAAATGATCATGAAGGTATCTTCATCCTTAATTAGAAGTTTTGAGCTCTAAAAATGAAGTCCTCAATGATAAGAAGCGCTAAAATTTTCTATATAGACTTTTTAACAAATCTGAATTACTCGTGACAATGAATTATATATTGACCTCAAGAAAATCAACCTCCCTTAACAAAAAGATATTCATCAGACTCAATGACTATAAATTCAGTCCTAGCCCCTAACTAAAAGAAGAATTTATCTATCAGAACCTACTAGAAAGGACAGAAGAAAAATTGGACAAGTTTACCTCAAGGGAAGCATGCATTTCTCATTTCATCCATAAATAAACAAAAACGAAAGGCTAGTAATATAATACTGGTATTGACACTACACTAAATCAGTTAATCATGGTTTACTAGCATATAGAAGTGAAAATATACATAAATTAACCATGTAAAAGACGCATGTCATTTGTTCATTAATTTGGTATAAATATCAAGTGCAGGTAAGTTTTTTCCATCAGATAGGCGAAATCACGTTAGGGGGCGGTGGCCCGGGCACCTTTAGGCTTTGGCCTGAAAATGAATATAGATCATTCTCAGATAATTTTACAAGTAGCACCCATAACGATAGCTGTAAAATCGAGCTTAAAGTTGCACTCGGAATAAGTAATCTATTTTCTTTGAAGGGGAACAGAGAGGGCTGCACAAAGCACCCCGCATTTACACATGGTCCGGGGAAGGGCGGCATCTCAGGAGTATGATGTAGATAGCCTAACTAATGCAAGCATTAGTGGCTGCTTCCACGACTCAAACTCGTGATCTATAGGTCACATGGTTACAACTTTACCGTTGCCATAAAAAGAAGATATTCAATAGCATGTAATGCTTCTGCTTTAAAAACATATTGGAAACTCAAAACTCAATTAATTGCTAGTTAGAAACACAAGCACACAATGAATTTGAAACATTCATAGTATATATATTTCTCCAGGAACTGACAGGAAATGGATTCAGTGGCGAGTGATACATACATTCTTTGAAAACCACAACTTCATGTCCGGCTTTGAACTCATCAAATTCGGCTTGAATCTCTCCCGAAAATGAATCTTCTTACCCAATCACTGACCACTAAATACCTTGTGCGCCAGCTAACTTGCTTGCTGAAATGCAAATAAAATGCAGAAGCAAGAAAATATATAACCAATGTAGTATCAGAAGCAGCAAGTCATATTCAAGAAATCTATCAAATTCTCACCTCGCATAAATAGAGTACCATAACCATTGTGTGCTATGACCCATAGAAACCCAGTCTCCAGGAAGTTCTGCTGCTGCTTGCTCCCCACCTAAAGGAGCAAATTGCCCTAAATGGCGGTACCTGAAATGGAACACATTGTTAAGCCAAGGATCACCTAGAGATAGGATTGACGCCTCAGTTGAAACCATAAAGAAATTTATGGTAAATGAGGATGTATCTGTGTATAGAAGTGGAACAAGAAAACAGCAGTTAGTTTTCCCAGTATGCTTACACGCAACAAGCAAAGTAAGGAAAAGAAATGTCCAAAAAGGTTAAGCTATACCTGAAGGGTAGAAATTCATGACGGCCAGAACCTTTGAAACGACGAGGGCCTTCAGGGTTACTTTTGCATTGCTCCCAGCGATTAAAGCATCTAGCAAGATATGTACCTTGTTGAGCAGCAACCTAGCATGTGAAAACAAAAGAAATGAAGCTAAAGCAAAACATGAAGCGAAACGAGAGAGGGGGATGAAAGCCAAACTACGGAAAAAGTACCTGAGCAGTGGCAGGTAGACTCTTCATCTGTGAATCAACATGAGAAAGGGCTAACTTAAAACCTTCAATATCTACTTCCTCTCTTTCATTTCCCTCTGAATCCCTGAGTAAGTCGGTCGCCTCTAACAAATGTTTGCTCTTCAGATACAACTCCACTTGAGGATAACGGATAATTATGTCTTCCAAAACATCTCGGAATTCCTCAATGGTTAAAGTTCCAGAATCATCCTTATCCGCAGCTTTAAAAATGACTGAAATATCTTCCTAAACCACGTAATGTCACATTTGAAACTTTAAGGAGGGAAGGTATAAAGGCAAGAAATGATTAGTTTCTTACAAAAGTAACTATGAAGAAAGTAAGGGATATAATCATCCTCATGCAGCATATATTTCATTTTCTGTTGTTTCTTTTCCTTTCATCATAATAATACTGTTAAGATATCAAATACTCTAACCATCATCAAGAAGTTTAAATTAATTAACTCTGAGACCAGAAACTACTGGCTCAATCTGACGTTTATAAGGAATGGGCACTAAAAACTAAGGAAATAATTCTTACTATTGGCTCTTGTTGGCTGTATCACGATATACTTCTCTAAGGTTGTTGGGACTAGTTCAGTAACTTGAAATTTACGACTGCATTTTCTAGAACGAATGTCAAAAAATCCAACTTTTTGAAAACTTTATAAAATGAAACACTCCAGCTCATAAAATCATTTTTGGAACACTTGAGCATCTGGAAATACATGGCACAACCAACGCGCATTATTATCCATGTGGACCCTAAAGCATATGTAACTGTCAACATCTGGAAAAATATACTATAGATAAAGAATTGATTATACAATAGATCAGGAATTGATTAAATGTTTCAGTACAGTTATTTGAACAAAGGTTTCTTTACCATTACTTGACGTTGATCTACAGTGGCGCAATCACCAAGTGTGTACACGTTGCTGCAGCCCTTTACTCGCAACCATTCATCAGCTGCTAGAACACGTCTTTTCCCCTGCAAGAGGAATGAAAAAATTACATGGCCATAATTGATTGAACTTGCAGAGCTTGCCAGTCAGAAAATTCTAATCTCCGAATATGGCATGCAAAAAGCGTTAAGTTTTAAGTATGCGTTTAGTGAAGAAAACCCCCTGAAAGAGTTAGTCAAAGGGAACAGGGTGCAAAATACCTGGCCAATTTGCTCCATAAAATCCTTAACAAATGGGCGGGTACCAACTCCAGTTGACCAAACAACCATCCCGTAGGGTACTTCAACATGTTCTCCTGTAGATTTTACTTTTGTGTTGATAGAATGATCAGAGACACTAATGACGCGGCAACCTGTCAAAACCTCAATTCCATCTCTCTGAAATTTCTGTTCAGCAAACGAGCTTATTCTTTCATCAAATCTGCGAAGAAACAAAATTATAATTTCGGAGTTGTTAGAGTCAATCTCATTCTTAAAAATTCTCTTAATTGAGTAGCAAAATTATGATCTAAAAATAGATCCCATCATCCAAACCATTTAACATGACAACCTTCTGGAACAACAACGTTTTCGTGTTTAGCAACTCCAAGAATGAAATGCCACATGTGTGCGTCCGCTAATACATAGTATATGTTTAAAGATATGGTCACCCCAATTAGAATCAAGCCTAGGTCTGTCCTTTGTACTTCATCCACCCCATTTCTACATCCAACCCCACATAAGGGATTGGGCTCTCTTCACACCTCTGTATCTTCCTTACTCTAAAATCTTTCAACATCACATTGACAACAGAAAGGCCGTGGCATACATTAAAAGCAGTGAAGAAGTAAATCTAGAAATGGTGCATCTTACGTATTCAGGATATGATCTCCAGATTGGACAAGTGTTATCTTCACAAAATCCTTAACTGATGGGTATATTTTCACTAGGTCCTCATGAACAAAGTCGTGTAGCTCAGCAGCAAATTCCACTCCGGTTGGACCCCCGCCAACTATAACAAAATGGAGGTTGGTCCTTCGCTCTTCTTCAGTTTGGCCAGGAATGACAGCTTTCTCAAAACAATCTATTACAGTCCTCCGTATCCTTTGAGCATCTTCCACTTCCTGTATGAGACATGATTCATTCATTTCCAGACAAGGAAAATTTAGCACCTCACAGAAAATATGGAAGAGAATCCTACCTTCAGAAAGTGGCAATGTTCCATGACACCCGGAGTGTTAAAAGTATTTACTTGAGCTCCTACAGCTATAACCAAATAGTCATATTGTAGGGAGAAATCATTATGTCCCACCAAATTATCATTGATACCAGAGCGGCAAAATACTTTGTTGTTTTCTGGATCAATCTTTAGACATTCTGCTTCGCAAAATTGAATTTCTCCACTTCTCTGCCACACCAAATAACAAAAATTAAACAGGAATAGGAAGAAAATTTTCGAAGGAGAACTATAATATATATTATTTTTAGAAAAGCAAGATCTTGAAGAAACTTAGCATATACTAGATGTTAAATTCTTCAGACCAAATTATGGCAACCCGGTGCACAAAGCATCCCGCATTCATGTAGGGTCCAGGGAAGGGCCACACCTCAAGGGGAGTGATGTAGACAGCTTACCCTAATGCAAGCATTAGTGACTGCTTCTACGGCTCGAATACATGACCTGTATGTCACATGGAGACAACTTTACTGTTGCTCCAAGGCTCCCCTTCCTTCAAACAAGGTTAGAACAATCGGAAACGAAATGATCAAAAACCAAGCGAATATAGGGGCAAATGAATCTTTCTAAGAAACAGTGGACAAAGCTATGCAGTCAACCAGTCATGCAAAATCTTGTCAGTACAACATAAAATTACTAAGGACATGAAAACAAAACTGGAGATACAGATACAAAACAAGTTCCTTATAGAAGCTTGTCTTACCTTCTTTATTATGTTCCGAACTGGCTCAACGATGCTACGTGCCTCAACTGTCCCACATGTAACACTAGGTAAAAGTGGTGTAAATGCAAAATAGTTTCGCGGTGAAACCACTTGAACATCATAGGAAGAAATATCAAGATCTTTTAGGAAGCTAGTACCAGCCCATCCTGTTCCAAGCACCACTACTCTCTTCTTCTCTGACACTGATTGATTCTCTTCGACAACTTGTTTTCCGCCCTCTATGTGCGATTCAGCATATACCAATAGACCTCCAGTACTGTAACAACCAGTAGAAAAATATTAAGTGGCAAAATCCTCTATCAAAATATGGGAGAGAAAATCAGTCTCAGAAGGAATCATAACACTCATTCATTAAACTTCAATGCCACAAGTGAGTCATTATAGTTTAGTAGGTTAGAACTGTTCGAATTCTATAAACATAACTCACCTCATACAACTTAAGTGGCATATATCTAGAACTATAAGAAACGCAAAGAATGAAGTAAGAAACCCATAACAACCTTGTAGTGAAGAGACATAAGTTTTCAAAGCCAAATCAGTTCACATCTTCTTAAATGAAATTGTTTTGCACAAAATTGCACCCAATGACCTTAAAAATGGGTGGTCTTGATTTTTGACCCCCGCTTGCCCTATGAGCAAACCTTTAAGGTCAAAAGTCAAAAGTGTTGCCCATGGGGCAAGTTAAGGGCAACACTCGTTAAACTTGAAGTTCTGCCCATGGGGTAAGCATAGTCAAAAAATCAAGAGTGACACTCGAAGTTTCCTATTTGTGCAAATCACCCATTGTTTGTTGTCATTTATGAAGCATGGCTCATTAAAAAATCTACTACCACTTTTAAATCCATAGGACACAATTTTCCTTCATAGAAGCAGCCGATTTGTTTGAGCTATACACCAAAAAATTAAAAAGAATGATCTCCAAGAGTTTACACTATCATATACAACTTCACTTTATTTTGACCAGCTTTTGCACTCTTAGTAACAAATGGTCACCTTGACACATTCAACTATTGGTTTATACATAGACCTAATTGGCTGTAATGTAATCATTTGTTTAACTTTCTTTATTGGTCAAATTGGATAAATCGCTAGGTTAGGGGAATGAACATGTATCTACTATTGTAAAAGTGAAAAGACCTAAAGTAAAACTTTGATAGACCAAAATGCCCATGTAAAGTTAAACCACTTTTTTACCCTTCAATCAAACACTCTTTATATAACATTAATGTAATAAAATATAAATACACATTCTAATAGATACTATTAGATAAAAAAATCCAATTACCAAGCATTATAATACTCTTTAACTCAAAGTGAGATTCTAGTAATACTTATGAAAGGACATTTAACAATTGCAGGTCAAGTTCAAATAATCTAATTTTGAAGGAGATGAAGAGATTACCACTATAACCTTAAAAATTCAGTTGATGTATATCAAGTATATTATGCTAATTAATCTCAAAAGAAAGAAGACAATCAGATAACTTCGGTAGTTATAATCAACACAAAAAATCACAAGGAAGTGGATTCTCTGACTATCGATCTTTCAGTCGAGCTTGATTGCATGTTCAGAGTAAGTAATCTTTTCGACATTACTGTAAATTACCTTCAAAAATCCGTTGAATTTCATGATTCCGAGCACTACATCGCTATGGTGCTACTCTATCTAGGCTTCTACAGAAAATATAGTACTCATATATCGAATAATAATAAGGCACCTGAGAACGCCTGTGGTGCAGGCGATTTCTTCCTTTATTGAGCTAGCTAAATAGGATCAACATTCATCATTTTTCAGGAATTTATAATTTTCTCTTTCACTTTGATTTTATAACTCAATACGTAGTACTACTATTTATGTGATTTTTTAAAATTCTATACTCCATTTATAACGGGGATACTTGTGCAACGTGCATACCGAGAGACTAGTTATACACAGCTAAACAAGTAATGTCTACCGACTGAATAATTCTTCTATATAATCATCCAAATTCACATTGAGATTTCAAAATCTCTCCTTTCTAAAAAAAAAGAAACTGTAATTTGCCTAATTGGTTTGATACTTAACGTGAAAAGAACTGTCTTTTTCCGCTCATTAGCTTCTTTGGATCTAAGAGTAGAGGGCCTTCTAACTTGTATAACAAGCTTCAAGGCAAGCAGAAAAACGGGCAACTTACACATTTGGCCGGTCAGGCAAAAATAATTATATCAGCTAGCCAAATATACAAAAAAAATGTATAAGATATGCATACATTAATACACAAAGTATATATACTTTTCAGCTATTATTTTTAGGAGCGGCTATACTAGGAGGATAAATATTTTGAAGAAAAAATGGAAATAAAAAATATAGAAGAACAACATTTTTGATAAATCAGCAAACATAGTAAAAATTCATTAAAAAAGTTGAAATGAAATGAAGCAAAATTACCTGACAGAAGAGAGAAGCAGAAGTTTAGAGTAAGAAGAATGGTTACGAAGAGCTAAGCTTAGATGTGTGAAACCCCTCATCTTCTTTTTTTTCCTCTTTCCCAAATTGTTTAAGATTTAAAACTTTCTCAGTATTTTCTAGCAAATCAGCTGTAAGCTATGGATCAAGTGAAGTGAATAATGAAACAAGGAATGTGAAAAGGTAGGAGGCTTTAATTGGGTTTTCTGACAAGTCTGTCTGTTTAGTAAAAACGTGTCAACTTTTTTTTGGTCCGAATTTTGTGATTTAAAAATTGTTAATATCCCACTCTACATGTGACTCATCTTACAAGTTAGAACTGCTATTTCCTTTCCAAATTAGATATGTCACAATATTTATGTGATTATAATTTTTTTTAAAATTATGGTATTAAACATGTCATACAGTATTTATATGGGTATAAAGTTTTATCATTAAAGGTAAAAACAAAAAAAGTAATTTATGTTAACTTATTTGTAAGATTTAGAAAGTGATATTCTTTTGGGGACAATTATATAAAAGGTAAGTAGCTACTTATAGGAATGGACATAGTTTGGGCAAAACCGAAATTCAAACCGAAATACGAATTTTTTTTTAGATTTTTGGTTTGGATTTTCGGATTACGGATTGAATTTTGGATTTAATTTTTAAAAATTTTGGATTTCGGATTGAATATTGGATTTGGTACTTCAAATTTTTGGATATCCAAAAATCCGAAATTTTAATATTTTATATTAATCCATTATTCATATGCCAATAGTAACAAATCCAATGCCCTAACTATTAGACATAATCTCATATATTCAATTAAGTTGCTATCAGAATACTTTCTATTTGGATATGATTTTATAATTGCTACTTTTTATCGGCCTTACTAATGTCTTTGTTACATTTTCTGATCATGATTTCATTACTTGAATACTTTATTTGGATGATTGGATTAAAATGAGGAACCTTTTAGGCAATTTAACATAAATACTTCATTTGGATGTTTATTATCGTGAGAAGAAGAAACATCTCAACTTATAAGCTCAAAATCGAAATCCAAGATATTCAAATCGATTAATTCGAACCCGAATTTTAAAAATCCGTTCCAATCCAATTTTATTTGGATTGGATTTGGATTGTCATTTCTTCAATCCGAAAATCGAAAATCCAAATCGAAATTTTTTATATCTAATCCGAATTGCATGAACGCTCACCTGTAGCTGCTTAGCATACTTATATATAAGTCCAAATGAAGGAAAAGTATTTTATTATAAATCTTCCTGAAGATCTCTCTACAATTCTTATTTCCTCCGCAGGTCTTCACACAAATCTCCATTCATAAAATAAGCTACCAATATTCCTATTTATAATAGTATGAGACATATTTTAACTAGAAATAGAAAAACTTATTCTTATATTAATTCTGACTTCAAATCTTAGTTAGACATGAATTAAATAAACTAAATCCTAAACAATTAAGGATTTCTACTATAACTTTGAATTACGGGTGAATTAGTTTTCCAGCATTCTCCGATAATTCAAAGTTGTATACGACTTTTGTTGTATTGGAGCACTTCTCTCCAATGTTTTAGTTTTGTTGAAGCACATGTCTCCAACCCTCGTTAATGTACTTTGCCACCAACAACTAATTTTGTTGAAGCACCTGTCTTCAACTCTTGTTGATGCACTTTGTCATCAACATCCAATTTTATTGAAGCACCCGTCTTCAACTCCCGTTGATGCACTTTGTCGCCAACATCCAATTACTGATGCACCTGTCACCAGCTCTAAAATTATTATGTATTAACCGCTACTCACCAATTTTCTAGAGAAGAATTTCTCTCTTGTGTCATATGGCCTAGCACATATTTTATATAGTATAATATTGTCTTCAATCATTTTCGGCATAATTCTTTTCCATGCATAACGCTTGCCAATATACTCAATGGCCAGACAGTCAGCACACATTGGCTAGCACCGCTGGCAGCGAAAGCTACTTGATTCTCTCCCAAAATCGTAAAAGCTCTGATACCAATTTGAAAGAAAAATATTATATTTAAATCTTTAAAAGCTCTCTACAGTTCTCACAAATCTCCACCACAATAAAAATAACTAGTAGCACTCTTATTTATAATAGTGCTAATCCTATTTGGACTAGAAATAGGAAAACTTATTCCTATATAATTATGACTATATAGGGAGAAGGGTTAACTTTATTCTATATAGGGAGAAGGGTCAACTTTGTTCCTGAACTATTTAAAATGGAACAACTTTATCCTCTATTTTATTGGAACAAAAATAGTACCTTCACGTAGCTTAAAGACACTTTCGTCGTTAGCCAAGTAACTCAAAAATACCCTCTCTATACTGATGGTTGCTCTCGGATGGAAAAGGGCCAAATTTGCTCCTGAACTATTTGAATCGGGATAATTTTTTTATTTTTGTTCCCTACACTTAGTCAATATCAACCCCCAAATTTAAAACCAAGAAATTTGGCCTCTAATCATTTTTAACATATTATAAATTATTTCTAACAATTTATTAATTGTTTTGTGATTAAGTGATGACTATTGAATCGGTATTAAATTCTTGTTCTTGATCGTATATTTTCACAAATTTTTTGAACTTTCTTAATATAAATATACTTTTCTATTGTTAACTGATAAAAGATATATACAATGTACATATAGTGTAAAATTAAATTGGGTAAGTATAATAATAAGGAGAGACCAAATGTTAAAGTTTAATTGAATATAAACTCGCACTTTTTTGGTAAGTAAAGTATATTATTTACCGAGGGAAACATGTACAAGTATAATCAGACCTTTTATTGGACAGATGGCCCCAACCTTAGTTCTGGACCAACTGCGACTTCTATAACTACTGTCATCTCCTCTATCGAGGCATGCATCTATGGATATACATTAAGTTTTTGCATGAAACTAGCTAATTTTGGCGTTAAGCTACTCCTGTAATGCACTTCCTAGACAATTAGTCTTGTATGATCTTCAACTTTCCTCTTCTTCCATTGGAAAATTCTGCAGTTCCTATCCTGCCAGAAGTAGTAGATGGTAGCAGCGGTTACCAGTCTGTAGACTTTACCTCTTGAGTCTCTTCCGTTTGCATGCATAATGGTCCATTCAAGCTCCCCATCCCATCCCATCCCTGGACATCTCTTGTAATACTCTGCAATATTAATAGTTTCTCCCATATGCTTGCTGAGAATGAACATTTGAAAAACAAGTGTTGGTGGCTCTCTTCTTCATCTTCGCATTGTAGGCATTCTGGGTTGGAACTCATACCTCACTTGATCAACCTGTCCCTAGAGTATAGTCTTTTGTGTATAGCAAGATATAAGATGATAGCTGTCGCACCTCCTTTTTTCCGAGGGAATAGGGAGTTTTTCTAATTAAAGTGACATTCGAAATGAGATTATTTATTTAATTCAGAGTCGCCACTTGGAATAATTTATGGTTTTCCAAGTCACCAGTTTATTTTAAAGCCCAAATCGAGGAAATTTAACTCTGTTTTAAATTCTGCGAACACAGAAGATCGGGTAAGGAATTCTGTTAATCCGGAAGAATGTGTTAGGCATTTCTGGGTTCCGTAGTTTTAGTACGATCGCTTTAATCATACTTGGCTTAGTTAAATTGTTTAATTATTCATTTTAGAACCTATGTACGTTTACCTTTTACAGCTTTTAATTATGGCATTTTATGAATTTAATCTTTCAAACGGATTACATGTGTGTAAATCCGCTTTATTTGAGGTGTTAAAATCATGTCACACGTACGTGTACACAATTAATCACGCTTTATTAATCTTAAGATTGTTTGGCCAAAGTCGTGCAAACGCATACTTTGATTTATTTGTGGAAAATCATAATTATGTCACGCGAACATGTACACAATCACGATAATAGATTAGAACGTGCCTAAAGCATTCTACAAATAGTAATAAGTTGTTCAACGTCTAACTAATTTCCAAAAGTTGTGGTTACTTATGAGGGTCGGATTTTTAGTCTAAGGAACGACTAACTATTAACAACTGGGAGCCCTTTTTTAGGGTGATAGTGACTATCAGTTCTCATTGCCGCCTATGAGCTTTGATTAATTAAGAGAAAAATTTAACTTATGCTCACAAGGAATCGTTTGAGTCCAATTAGCACAATCAGATTCTTTATGCTAGCTTTCCGGAGTTTATAGGTTATTAAAGGCTCTTGAAGTGGGCCACAATATTTTGGGCCAGCCCACAACTCATACTTGAGTCCACGTGAACTCCTCTACTATATACAACTTCAACTAACTTGTTATTGGGCTTAGTGTTCTGAAGGCAACAGCCCACCGGCCCATGATTTATACGAATTTATAGCTAAACAACGACCTGAAAGACAATCTATGATGATAGCATTATTACCGCTCAAACAGATATAGTTTCAGACATCCAACTTAAGAAGTACTCTTCAGTGGATTATAATTCAAGCTACTTTGTTGTTAACACTTAAACATTTTTCTAACACTTTAAAACGTACTCAAACACGACAAGTCAAATATACACAGCCATACACATGGACTTCATAGAAGGAAACATAGAATTCTGATTATGCAAAAATCCATAGTCGTACAAGTTTAAGATGTGTACCTAGACTTGGAATAAACTGAAATAGCCAAATAAGGCACAGAAACTTGAAGAACGAAGCCCAGCAACCCCATAAAACAATAGAAAAACCAACTATAACTTGATAGAATAAACAGCGAGCAACATAAATTGAAGCCAAACTCAAACTTCAAACCTAGAAAATTGAAGCCCCAGATATCCAAGAATGAAACAAACTAATGAAACTCTTTTAGTTTTTTGTTTTGTTTTCTGAAAATCAAAGTTCAAGTTCCAAAAATTTTCTTTTCTAAAATGAGAGTGAAAGAGAGTGAATTTTCCAGAAAATCAGTGTAAAATCAGCACAAAACTGAAGGGAGAATTCTAAATTTCAGAGCGTTTTCTTTTCGTGTGTGTCTATTCTTTCAAAATGCAGAATGAATACTATTATATAGGCTATGTGTATGCTATAAGAGAGAATGAGAGAGAGTCTAGAAAAGAATCTGTCAGCTCCTATATTTTAGGAAAAATGGCATCTTTTCAACTGAATTGGACAGCTATCCTCTTATTCTCAGATATTTTCCTTTTTTTCAGCACCTTATCTTAACAAGTTTGGACAGTTGTCC